CCAGGCCTTCCTGTCCTCCGCTGCGCCAGGCCTTCCCTTCCTTCTTTTTCTCAGTTTTATGCTCTCTGCTTCAGTGATGCTATCTAACCATCTCATCCTCTGCCGTCCTCTTCTCCTTTTTCCTTCCATCTTTCCCAGCATCAGGGTCTTTTCTAAAGAGTCCTCTCTTTGCATTAGGTGACCAAAGTATCTGAGCTTGAGCTTCATTATCAATCCTTCCAATGAGCAATCAGGGTTGATTTCCTTTAAGATTGACTGGTTTGACCTCCTAGCAGTCCAGGGGAGGATATTATAGGTCAAATGATAATGGTCCCTCCCATTTTCCTACATGCTCACGTGGGCATACAGATTCAAAGGGAGATGCATCCCATCATGTAAGTTGAAAAGGGTAACAGAAAACTTGGCTGGGGAGTAGAGGTGGGGAGAAGATTACCAGCACGGCGCCCTTACCCAACACCACTATAAGCTGAGGAGATGGCACAATATGCCATCAGGGACTTCACTCTCTGTGGCAGGCATTGGTGGAGTTATGGAGGGCACTGATCTCTCCGGTCCACTGCAACACTAGAGGTCGAGTGCCAGCATACTTTGCACACACCTTTTTTGGTGGTATATCTTTCCCTGTCATGATGATTGGATTATTTCTTTTCTTTGTATGGAGATATAAGGTGTAGTTGATGACATAAAACTTAGATTTTTTTTTTTAAAAAAACCTGAACTTTATGCATTTTTGTCTTTTCAGAATCCCAAGTGCACTGTTGGTAACAGCTCTTACAGCATAATCCTAAACATGTATTCTCAAAAATAGGTTGCATGGCTATGTTATGGACCAAGTTAATCATAGTTTATTAAATTAAATTTGGCTGGATTCACACAACGTATACTGTAAAGCTGTACACCATGCTTTACAAACCACACCAGCTTAGTTTGCTTGGCACACTAATCTACAATCAAGCAAGTCTTATTTTGGTTTAGCAAGTAATGCTGTACATAATATGGATTGTTTAATTTTTGATTCAGAGTGCCTTGAAGCCAGCCGCTGTAGTTTATACATCATGATTTATAGCTCAGCATTGTATGCAAATGCAGACAATAATGGCTTTTAAAACAACACAGACATAGTATAAATCATGGTGTAGTGTGGCGTGTGAACCCATTTATTGAGTTTCCACACCTTATTCCCATGTACGCAGATATAGGATTACAGTCTTCTTTAGAAGCATTATCTAAACAGCTTAGATATTTAGATATTGAACTATCTTCTAGAGAGGTGAGGTACTTTCTATCAGATTTACCTGCACTCTTGGTCTTACCAAAAAGTAATCAAGCTGTTTTATGTTAGTTTATCAGATAACTTTTTGTTCAAGTAGCTGATTGAAACAATGCAACTAGCAATAAACCAAGCACTATCTCATACATATACACTACCTTATTATTCTGCCCATGTGCCCAGATTGCAACACACTCATGATATCACACTGTGCGTGTTAATTCCAGAGCAGGAAGGAAAACAGTCCTTTAAATATTAGCACTGTTGTGACCTTGACACAAGCCAATCCTTCTAAGATACAGCAACAGCTTTAACTGTGGTTGGTCAAATTCAAACATAATATCAAGGCTTAGTTTGGTTAACAAACCCATAATTTACTTCAAACCTGGTTTGATAACTGCAGACTTCTGAAACCAAGATTTTGCTTTCAAGTTAGGCTGGAGCCAGTGGTTGAATTCACATAGAGTGCTAGTCTCTTTAGGTTTGGCCTAGCTGGCTTAGTAGAAACAGAGCAATTATGGGTTATAAATAATGGTTAGTGTTGTGTGTGCATCAGGTCACTATGACACATTCAACAAACCATTATTAAAAGAAACCATAGATTAACATGACTATGAAGTCAGCCATTACCGCAGCCTCACCTACAGTTGCACAGATATTGCCAAGATACAATGGGAAGGGCTATGGATGGTGTCCTGATCCCTTTGCAAGAAGAGATTAAAATGTAATACATAAATAGATGTTATTTAGCCCCCTTCTAGTTCTGAGTACCATGACCATGGTCTTATTTATCAAAGGGCAATTTTCTACTTGAAGGACTGTCCAATCCAAATTTGCATTAAAAATACATCACTGTAAGAAGGGACAGCAAGGCCTTTGAAGTGGCCTGACAAGAAATAATGCCAGAACAGTGAGCTCATAACTTTCTCTGCGGCACTGACTCTGCTGATCTTCCTAGATTTCTCAATTTTTGATACCACTGACCAGGAACTGCGTGGAGCTGGTGTCAGAGGCACAATTCTTCATGCTTCTACTCCCACCTGCAGTCAGGTCCAGATGGTGGCACTAAAGGATTTCCACTCAGTCATTTAATAACCGCATGAAGCTGTTGAGGGAGATCATTGGGATTTATACTTGGATGCCACCAATATGTGAAAAATACCCAGCTCTTTTTCACCCCGCTTATCAAAGTCAGGTGAAGTGCTGGACCATACCGGATGCTGTTATAGGCCGGATGAGGGTCAGTCAGCTGAGACTGAATCCTGATGACTCTCTGGCTCTGGATGCAGTTGTACTTCCCCCTGAAGGAGCAGGTGTTCTCCTGGATTCCCTTCTGTTATATGGAGCCCCAGTGGCCACCGTGGCATGGGGTGCATTTGGTTCGCTGTGACTAGCTAACTAGCTGCAACCTTTCCTGGATGGGAATGGCTTGGCCATAATTGTCCATGCTCTGTTCACTTCATGGGTAGAGTACAGCAATGGGCATTATATGGAATTAGCCTTCAGCTGGTGCAGAACGTGGCAACAAGGCTGCTGTCTGAAACAGCTCCTAGAACCATACAACACTGGCCTTAGAGGGACAGCACTGATGGCTTTTATGTGACCCTAGGGCTTCACCGTTTCCATAGGCCAGGCTGCCGTTAAAACTGTTTTAGCCCATGTATTTGAGGCAACCATCATCATTTGGCCATGTCCTATTGTCCCTTGTGACAAGCTCTGCCTCTTTACTATGGTATTACAGTTACTGTTGTTATGGTTTTTAAAATATTTATGTTTACGTCGTTTTGTGGTTTTGTCATATTTATTTTTTGAACTATTACCCAGTCTGGGGTCCCAAGGGTAATGGTGTGTGTGTGTATGTGTGTGTGTGTATATAATTTTAACACACACACACACACACAGATATACACACACACATACACACACACAAAACTATAAAATTATACCACTGAAATGAAGGAAGTTTGGAACAACCAGGAATTAATTTTGATATAGAAGCTCTTCTTTTATTTCTGGTACCCAAAAACCATTTCTCGGAATTTCTTTAATTCTAAACCTATGCGTTTAGCACCAGCTGCAAGCTGGAAATAAGGAGAGTCAAGCTGAATCAGTCTATAGTTTATCTAGTCCAGCAATCTGTTCCTATAGTAACCAGCCAGGTGGCTGTGGGAAAGCCACAGGAAGGACAGGAGCCAGTGTGGTGCAGAGGCGAAGGTGCTGGACAAGGACCAGGGAGCTGCCGGTTCAAATCCATTCTCAGCTGCAGAAGCTGAGTGACTTTAGGACAATCACTTTCTCAGCCCAACATACTGAACACAGTTACTGGTATGGGGAGAATACTGGAAAAGGAAGTGCTACATATAGTGCCTTTTGCTCCTGGAGAAAATGAGGGCTATAAATCTAGCAACTAAAAAAATAAGTTATCTTCTAGCTATGTCCATTAACAATTGGAATTGAAAAGTGTATTGCTTAACTCTGGAGAGAGTTATTCTTAACTCCATAAAAGGAATTTTGCACCTGTGGTTATGATCTGCACAAATATATTTTATGCAAATTGCTGGCCCCCGTTGACCTCTTTTTTGGTGATATGTAAGAGGCCATTCTAACTATGAAATTCTATATACACTGAAATGTGGGCATCTTAAGAAAGTAGGATTCATTTTGCTCTTGAGTCGCACGCTCCATTTCTAACTTCTGGATGCTCTCAGTGAAAGAATGAGAAAAGTGGCACAGTGTTCCAAATGCTGGTTTCGTTCTGGAAATATGCAATATCCTTGTGAAAATGTAAGCAGCTCCATAACTCATCCATCCTGCCCTTGCTCCAGCAGACCCATATAAATGTTTATGGCACATATTTCTAAGTGTGCTATAAACAAGCAGAAAACATTCACTCCAGCTGAAAGGGGTAAATATGATGAGGACCTGACAGAGCACTGCAAATGGAAATGAATTCCTCCCAGACACTGAGTGACTTAGCTTACCTGCAGATCCTGATGGAAAATATGTGCTCTGCTTCTGAGTTTGCACTGTTAACACATCAGTAAGCTGGACTGTTCTTCTTTTTCCATCTTGGCTGGAAAAAAATAATCTCTCCTTCATCCTGTAGTCACTTCCTTTTCTTGAAGGCTGTATGGCCTTTATAAAAGACAGATTATGAAGTCAGGTTTAGAGCACCCAGTCTCCCCAAGAATGTTCATCTGGCAGACAATCCTTTTTCATATCAAGTGAAGATTTCTTTTTCTTCTAAAAATTCACCCAAGCGTTTTCAACTTGTTTGGCTTTTAGTTTTGATGCTAATGCTGACTTTCCATCCTCAACTGATTGTACTCTTTTTTTCAGGAGGCAGGGTTTTTTTGTTTTGTTTTGCTTTGCTTTTAATATGCATTCTTTGAAGCTGAAAGGCAGGGAACAATGTTTCCTTTTAAAGCTAGCAAACTAATTTAAATCTTTCTCGCTCAGTTCAAAAGTGGTAGCATTCAGGACCGAATGGGCCATTGCAGTGGAGCTATCGAGACTGTGGGGTAAGTTGTCTTCCAAGGCTCCCAGGCCATTCTGGCTGATCACTTCCCTACACCCCTTTCATTAGTATAAAGATAGACAAATCATCAGCCACACTACCCCCCCCCCCATCCCTACCCTGGCATTATGCTACCAAATTCCACTACAAATCTTTTTTTTTCTTCCATATTTGTTTCCAGCAAGTGTGTTAACCCTCTGCTGGTTTTACCATCCCTATTTTCTCTTTTAAAAAATCTTTCCAAAGATTGAAATACTTCAGCCATGTCACTCCCGTTGCATCCAGGGACATCAGCTAATTACCACTAGGTCTTCCCTACAATACAGGTAATCCTCATTTAGCAACCACAATTGGGACTGGCAACTCGGTCGTTCAGCGAAGCATTTGCTAAGTGAAACTGCAACTTTGCTTACGATCTTACTTCAGCTTTCTTTTGCTTTACAGACCTGTGAAGGTCATAAATGCAAGGACTGGTTGTAAAGTTACTTTTTCATCACTGTTTTAACTGCCAACAGTCACTAAATGAGGGGTCACTAAACAAAGGCTACCTGTACTTGGAAGATTTAAAAAAGACCTGCAAAACGTATGCAGCTATTTCTTGCATTACCTGAGAAACACTTTCTTCATTTTTGTTTATCATTCAGAGCTAAAGGAAGGGATGACTTGGGATACTTCTTTCTTTTTAAACCTCTGTAAAGAAATTTTAAAAAGTTGAAAAGAAAAAGAGGTCTGCCCAATCTATTTTATTGGAATAGTCTGTCTGTGGAAATTAGAATATTCAAAGTGGTTCCTGGCTGTGAGAAATCCAGAGCGCCATGGATCTTATTACTGGAAGGCTAACAAATTAAAAATTGTGGCATGCAAACCAGCCTTCATAACGGTCACAAAATTACCCGGCAACACATTGATTTGGATCATTCTGTTTATTTCAAACTTTCATTATGAATTGGAGAAGGAGGAAGAGGGAAAAAAGTTGACATTTGTGAATTCCAGGGGAAATTTCAATCGCCCATCACCTTATATGAACTTTTAACATACGTAAAATGAAGCGCAAGGGACACGACCCTTAAACTTTAAAGATTGCTGGTGCGTGACATGATTGAGAAGTACTTTCAACCTGAAAACAGTTTCACTTCCTGCATGTGGCCACAAAGAAGCTACGTAATAAAGTTCATATCAATGCTGTTTGCTTTCTCTCTTTCTCACTCCTATTTGTCTTTGTTAACATTTACTGAACTTCTTACATGAGTCTGGAGTTTATTTACATCCAAATATTTTTTCTGGTGGGGATATGTTACCTTTCATTAGTCTTTGCAATTATTCAGTACTTATGTTTGACATGAAATGTAACATTTTCTTTGTGCTGCCTGCTTAGATAGAAGCATGGTGGAGGAACAGTGTACAGTATAGCACTGCACACCTAGTATTTTGCCATGTAGAGCCAGAGAGCCATCAGTGCAGACCAGAACTAATGCGAGAATTATAACATAGCCATCTTCTGTGAACATTTGTCCATTTTGTGCCTCACACAGGATGAGGATGCAAGGCCATGGGTACACAATGCAATGAGGATGCAATGCAGAACCAGCGGTCAGTCAATAAAATAGATGGGGGATGTTTCTCCCTTGTCTGAAAGCTAAGCCTGTGAATCTTCCAAACTTTTCCAGGCCAGCTGAAGTCAGACAAGAGTACTTATATTTAGCTTTCACTATATCATCAATTTCAGGAGAAAATTTGGCATATTGGGGGCCATGGAGAAAGGGGATTATGAGACTAAGCCCACCTGTAGCAAGGACAAATTTATTTTGTTTCCTTCACCTAATTAACAACGTTCCCCTACCCCACTCCAGGTTCTCAAAGTTTATTAACTCTGAAATGCCCTTTCTATATCTTCTAATCCAACTAATTACAAAAATCTTCCAAGTTTTTTTTCATCTGTCTCCATTCTCCCTCCACAACATTCTCTCATTTTTAACACTTTCTGGAGCATATCCAGATACTAGATACAGTGGTACCTCGGGATACCATCGCCTCTACTAACGAACTTTTCAGGTTACGACCAGCTCCGGCCGCAAAAATTTACCTCGATGTGCGAACTCCGCCTTGGGGTACAGCCATTTTTCCGCCCTGACACATAGTCCGCGGCCATTTTCCCGCTGCGCGGCACCTGGCTGTTTTCCTGCAGCGCGGCGCCCGGCCGTTCTCCCACGGCGCGGCCCCCGGCTGTTCTCCTGCCGCGCCGCACAGCGCCCGGCCGTTCTCCCACGGCGCGGCCCCC